CGGGACTAGAACCCGGTGTGCCGGCGCCGCAAGGTGGAGGATTAGCCTATTGAGCCACGGCGCCGGCTCATAATTGGGGTTTTTAAATTTTTTAATTATTTATTTATTTTTTATTTTAGGTTCCCCTCAGTAGAATTGTGTCTAGTGACAAGCCACTCATAGGAAGCCAGAAACCTATTTTTTAAATCCAAAATATTTGTTTCGAATTTAAATTGTAAATGCTGACTTGTTTCCCCAACTGGGAACTGAACCTGGGTTTCCATGGTGAAAGCACAGAATCCTGCTGAGAACACCACTTGCCATAAGCAGTAGAAGATGGCGCCATGAATCTACTGCTTCCTGTAAAGCAGTGGAGGAAAACCCCACGCAGAACTCCTCAGGCAGTCAGGCTGGAGTCTCCACAAAGGGGAGCATCCCAAGGTTAACCTCAGGCCGTTGCATTTGTCATCTATGCTTGGCTATGAGTGCAGGTTCTTCAGGCCTCAGAAGGGGGGGGGGTGCTAGTCATGTGACACAACACTCCAAAAAACAATATGATATTGTCCTATGCTCTAATTCATACCAAGATATCACACACTATGTCACACAATCTAAGCAACATCATCAAATGGCTATTTAGGACAGAGAGAGAGAGAGAGAGAGAGAGAGAGAGAGAGAAGCCTCAGGCATGTTGCCTAAGTTAACAAACCAGTCTGAGTTCCAGATCGGTTGTGGTGGAAGGTGTAGCCCCACTGGGCTAACTTGCAGGCTGTGATGTTCTTGGTCTCAGTCCATGCGGCAGCCCCGGCTTGGTCTCTGGTGCTGTACTGGAATCTTCCAAAGCTGACCTCCTTGGCTCCTTTCTGGGATGGCCTTGCCTTAAACCCCACATAGGAGGTAATGTCTTCCTCACTCATACTCACATGTCAGAGGAATCTCCCATAAAAGGCTTCCGAAGGTGTCAGAGACTTCTCACAACTCAAATTAGATGGTCACACTCAAAGCAATGTTTGTGACCAAACACACACACATAAACAAAACACAAACCTGGAAATACTTCATCTGTGAAAATTGTCAGCAAATGTTGCCAAGTTCATTACAGACTAACACACGTGGATAATCTCCCTAATCTCTGTCACTGGGGGGACGTTGGCACACCATTCATTCACTCTGCGTTTCCCACTGCAATCTCCCACTTCATTTCTCTCTCTGTGTAGTGGAACACTAAATCCACTACATCCTACAGCTAAGTAATGAAACAAATGTGTGAACCCTCCAGAGACAGCAAAGACGGGGGATTCAGCAGCAGGGTGCACAATGACTGAAGGCTGTACCCGCATCTCCAGGAAGTGCCCCACCCACTCCAGTTGTGAGCTGCGTGCTCCAGGATGCAGGCCGTCAGAGACACTCTCTGCAGAACACTGCCGTTATGCAGAGCAACCATTGTGTTTTGGATCCTGCTGCATTTTGTTCCCCACTTTTATTTCAAAGAAACTGTCTAATTGAGCACACAGGTACTAGCCTGACACAGCTCTGGCAGCTCGGACTCTATCTTACAATATAGCAAGATAAAACTCTCCATTTTCCTGGTTATCTTTGTATTTGTGAACTTGATTCATTCACATACTCCCTCATTTTAACACAAGCATCAGTACAAATGCCTGAAAGGAAGTGACCGCCCCCAGCTTTCAAATGTTTGTGTCCTTCCTCACTAAGTCCTTAATTCATCCTCTCACTCACTCAGCTGTACAGGACAAGCATATTTCAGGATGCCCTTACATCAGGAGGAATACTGTTGAACACATTCACTGTATGGAAAAACCTCCTAATTCTTTGTGTTTGCAGCCATGGCCTGGATCTTACTCACCTGTTTCAGAGAATGTCTTCCCAGTGTTTGCTTACATGAGCTCACATGAAATTTCCAAAACTCATTGTAACCCTACTCCACCACTCACACTTTCCTTTATGCAACCTTGACCACCAATATCTTACTTCTGAGGTCTGTCTGAATGCTTGATCTTACGTACGTCCTACAGCTTGCCAATCTCTGAGTTGCACAGTGTAACACCTTTCTATCACCTCAGAATGCTTTTCCTTCATACCGTACAGGTGATAGGTGCTTCACTGGTAACATTCACCTGCATCATTCATTTCCTATAAAAGATTTGAGAAAGATTCAGAAATTTCTCCATCTTGGAAACCCTCCAAAACCTGTTTACCTATTGTCAACATGCATGCATGCAACACACACCCACACACACACACATACACACACACACACGTACAATGTAGATTTTTTCAATCTGTCACAACAGTAAAAGCCATGTTCTGTGTCATTATGAAGCCAGAAGCACAGGTAATAAAAGAAAAATAGGCAAACGGGATTACATCAAACTAAGGAGCTTTTGAGCAGCAAAGGAAACAGCAAAGTGAAGAAGCAACTGACAGAATGGGAGAAAATATCTGCAAACTAGTCAGCGTATAAAGGATTAGTACATAGGAATAATAAGGAGCCCACGAAACTCAGTATACACAAAACAAGCAATCCAGTGAAGAAATGGGCAAAGGATGTAAATAGGCAGCTTTCAAAGGACGAATTATAAAGGGCCAACAGATGAGGCCAGCATTGTAGTGTAGCAGGTTAAGCCTCTGCCTATGGTGCCAGTACCCCATATGCACACAGGTTGAAGACCCAGCTGCTTCGCTTCTGATCCAGCTCCCTTCTAATGCACCAGGGAAAGCAGCAGATCACCCAAGTCCTTGGTCCCCTGCACCCATGTGTGAGACCCAGAAGAAGCTCTAAGCTTCTTAGCTCAAGCTAATAAGTTTATGAACAGCAAAGGAAACACTCGACAAAGAGAAAAGGAATCAGACTGAATGGTAGAAAATATTTGCAAACTATTCTGATAAACATTTAAGACCTAAAACACATAAGGAGCTCAAGAAACTGGACCACAACAAAACAAACAACCCAGTGAATAAATGGGCAAAGGAGATGAACTGGCATTTTTCAAAGGATGAAACACAAATGGCCAACAGACACATGGACAAATGCTCAGGGTCCATAACCATCATGGAAACGCAAATAAAAACCACAATGAACTTCATGTCACCTACGTTAGAACGGCCATTATCCAAAAAGAAAAAAGAAAAAGAAAGAGAAGTGCTTGTGAAGATGCGGGAGAAAAGGTACCTAGTCCACTGTTGGTGGGAATGTATACTAGTACAGCCATTGTGAAGACAGTATGGAGATTCTTCAAAAATCTGAAAATAGATCTACCATATGACCCAGCCATTGCACTCATGGGAATTTGCCCACAGGAAATGAAATCAGCACATGAAAGGGTCATCTGTACCCCCCAATTTAATGTATCTGAGTGAAACTGACATGTTTATATTTGATATTTTTATAGCCCTTGTCTACTGTTGCACAACAGTGATCTTTGTATATTTCCTTGTTGAATTCTTAATTTAGTGCAGGATTAACCCGGTGAGTATGAAGTGAATTGAATGTATGGCGTTCAGTGTTGTGTGGCTACCAGCATCCCATATGGGTGCTGGTTTATATACTGGGTACAACTGCTAAAGAACTGGGAAAACAAGCAGAGATTGGCACAAGTGTTTGGACTATGGTATCCCATGTGGGGGACCTGGATGAAAATCCTGGCTCCTGCATTTGGCCTGGCCCAGCCTGGCCATTGTGGCCATCTGGGAAGTGACCCATTAGATGGCAGATGTCTTTTTCTATCTTCCTCTCTCTCTTTCTATCTCCAGCAACTTGCTGACTCAACTGCAGGGTCTTAGTCCACCCGAACGTGCATGGACTGGGTCCGAGGAAAGCTAAGTGCACCGCTGGCCCTTTTCCCAGCCTCACAAACCCGGAGACAATGGCCCTTTTCCCAGCCTCACAAACCCGGAGACAATCAGACGCAGTGGGGAGCCAAGTCAAGCAGGGACTTCGCGCGTAACAGAACCTTTTAAAGCACAATACTGCAGTCATTGGGGCAGGGCATAAGGACCAACCAATCACTTAAAAGATCATTTTATGGGGCGATTTTTATAGGCCTAGCCATATGTCTATATACTCGTCATCAGTTGTCATCACTTCCCCTAATGTTGTGCAGCCAATCAGCTTTAGTGACAAACAACTTTGAGTCCCGCCCATCTTACTTCCTCTGGGCGCCATCTTCTTTGTCCCTCTCGCAGGGCCCGCTGCAGAGGTTGCCTGCATCATCATCAGCAGCCTGGTCCCTCTCCATTTGGTCCCCAATGGTCCTCTTGCTGGGGGGCTGTGGCGGCCACGCAAGCTGCTCCAGGATCCACTCCCCCTCCTTGTGCGACAGCAGTTTCTTCATGGCCAGCCCTGGGCACAGTGGCATCATGGCGGCAGCTGTGCACACACTGCAGCTCACAGTCCCACTCCTCCAGTGCCTGCAGGCTGTAGATGAAGTCCTCCTGCAGGCTCTGCAGCTGGCCCTGCGCCTCCTAGAGCCAGGCACGCTTCATGCTGACCCCTCCTTAGCGCCCCCCAGGGCCCCCGTTGTCCGCACTGCCCGGTCTGGGGGCCGCTACCGTCATGCCCACCGCGGGGCCACGTGCTCACATGCCAGGCCCCTCTCTGCACTGGCATCCCCGGGACACCCGCCGGCTGGCTCTGGGCCTCTGGCTTGGGTTAGTTCGCGGGCTCGGTTCTGCGCTGCTCCGCTCTGTGTAGCTTAGGCTGGGGCGCCCGGGGGCAGCTGCGCGTGCAGAGCCCCTGGGCCTGGCCTGGCCACGCCATGGCCTCGCTCATGCCCCGCACTCAACCACAATGGAAACAGACCTGCCTATCCTTGCAGCTATGACTGGTCCAAGGGACAGGCAGTTTCTTTTTCTTTTCTTTTTTTTTTTTTTAACAGGCAGAGTGGACAGTGAGAGAGAGAGAGAGAAAGGTCTTCCTTTGCCGTTGGTTCACCCTCCAATGGCCGCTGTGGCCGGTGTGCTTTGGCCGGTGCACCACGCTGATCAGAAGGCAGGAGCCAGGTGCTTATCCTGGTCTTCCATGAGGGTGCAGGGCCCAAGCACTTGGGCCATCCTCCACTGCACTCCCTGGCCACAGCAGAGAGCTGGTCTGGAAGAGGGGCAACCGGGACAGAATCCAGCACCCCGACCGGGACTAGAACCCTGTGTGCCGGTGCTGCAAGGTGGAGGATTAGCCTAGTGAGCCACGGCACCGGCCAAGGGACAGGTAGTTTTTAATCCCTCAAAAAAGACTGCATTTCCCCGCATAAGGGAACAGAAGAGCTACAGCTTAGAGGTCAGAGGCATCAGGATTGTCCACACTTGTTCTCACCTCTCTGCACACATTTGAGTCCCATGTTTGGAAGGTTGTCATCCATGGAAATGGAGTCAGCCCCTGGAGATACGATGTCATTGTTCACCAGCCAATCAGTGACACCTTCTCTCCATTACACGCATGCTACAGGGATTTTCTGAAATGCCAACGAGATGGAAGTTACTATAAAAGTTAGATTCCTGTGGGCAATGCCACACATTGGGCCATGCTTATTAAACATTCAAGATTATTGGAAAATAGTCTATGGACCCTGTACTTTGTTTTAAAATATTTGAGGATTAAAAGGAACAACAAAGTTTGAGCACAACCAGATCAAGTCAACTACAGCTATTACCACCCCCACCCCCCAACTCCAACCCTACCCCCACCAAACCAACAACAAACAAAAATCACACAGGTCCCCATCTGCCTACAGTGGAATCCTCATGCCCTGTAGGTGAGTTCTCGGGGCTCCCCATTTCTTTCACTCACTTTATCTCAGGGAAGATCAAAGAACTTACCCTCCTGGAGAACAGAGGGGATGAATCCCCCTCATTCTTCCCTCCACTATGGTCCTGCAGTTTGGTCTGCTCCAGCCACGTTGTAAGTTAAAGGCTGATGCAAGCACATTGATCAGGCGGGAGAGGATCTACCTGCCTGTTCAGAGAAAAGGAAATTGTTAAAGGTGCTCTAGTCTATTAAGAGGAACCAAGTGGGGATGAAGGCAAAATACTTCAGTCACATAACCAGGATTTGCTCATGGTAAAGGATCCTGCAATGAACCAAGTAGTATTTCAGGCTGAGGGGTGATGTGCCATTGTGCCACATCCCCTATACCCAACACCAAGTTTCTGGGAGTCCAGTCTTCACAACTGTGAGCTTCACCAGATCTGTCACAGTGGGAAGGAAACTTCCTTCCGGGATTATATTTGTGAACCAGTAGGTACAGATGGGGTGACTGGATCACAAGTGGGTGGGGGTGCGTTGGGGTATAGAGGACTAGTAAGTAGAGTTGTTAGGAAGAGTTGGGGATAACATAGAGGCCAAATAGAAACAGGTAGGATAACACAGGGCAATGGGCAGGTTAGGTATGATAGGAACAGGGTCTTGAAGTTCTGGGCATGGAGTGAATAAGGTCAGATACTGGGAAGGAGAGTCATTTGTCATGGAAGGAAAAAGGTGACAAAGTGAGGAGAGCTGGGAGGAGGGTAGATGAGAAGATTAGAATTTGATGGGCCTGAGGCAGGGCAAGACTGAGGTGAGAGGTCATACAAAGGTAAGGACAGTGTGGAAGATCAGGCTGGTGTAGGAGACAAGTGGGCAGACAGGATGTAGCACAGAAGGTTGAGGTTGCTATGGAGGAACAAGAGGAAGGAGGTGGAGGAAGAGGAGGGTGAGGCTAGGGAGAAGGACCAGAAGGAGGGTGGGGAGGGAAGGAAGAGCCAGAAGGAAGGTCAGGCTGGGACGGACAAGCAGAAGGAGGGTGAGGCAAGCATCAAGGTACAGAGCAAAGATGAGGATGGCCAGGAGGGTGAGAAGGAGGAGCAGCACGAGGCTGAGATGGAGGATAAGGAGGAGGGTGAGGCTGGAATGACAGACCAGAAGGAAGGACAGGCTAGGGGGTGGGGACAGCAGGACCTTGAGGCTGGAGTTGAACAGAAAGAGGAGATGGCTGATACAAAGAAAAGGAGGGTGAGGCTTGGGAGGAGGACAAGGAAGATGATGAGGCTGGAGCAGAGGTTCAGAGGGAGGCTAAAGTGGAGAGGAAAGACCAGCCAGAGGGTGAGGCTGGAGTAGAGGAAAAGGACAGTGGACGGGCAGGCAGAAGCAAAAGAAGGGGCAGGGTCAGAAGGAGGGTGAGGCTGAGGCTGGGAGAGAGGAGCAGGAGGAGGGCGAGGCTTGGGGGCAGGATCAGAAGGCAGGCAAGGCTGGCACAGAGAAGCAGCAGGATGCTGAGAGCTGGGTGGGTGAACAGGAGGAGGTTGAGGTTGGTGTTCAGGTTCAATAGGAGGCTGGTGCCAACATGAGGGGACAAAAGGAGGGTGGCACTGTGGAGAAAGACTGGAGGAAAGGCAAGAATGGCACAGAGAAGCAGCAGACGCTGAGAGCGGGATGGGGGACCAGGAGGAGGGTGAGGTTGGTGTACAGGTGTAATAGTAGGCTGGTGCCGACATGAGGGGACAAAAGGAGGATGGCGCTGTGGAGAAAGACTGGAGGGAAGATGAGGATGGCGCAGAGAAGCAGCAGGACACTGAGAGCGGGGTGGGGGACCAGGAGGAGGGTGAGGTTGGTGTACAGGTGCAACGAGAGGCTGGTGCCATGTTGACCAGACAGAAGGAAGATGGTGCTGGGGAGAAAGACTGGAAGAAAGGCGAGGCTTGTGGAGCACAGTGACAGGAAGGTGGTGTCTGTGTAAAAGGCTAGGAGAAGGGTGAGGCTTTAGTACAAGAAGTGCTAGCAGGCATTTCCGGAGATCATGGCCATAAGGGAAAGAAAGGCAGAGAGGAACATCAGGAGGAGGCTGAGACTTGTGTTTAGACGCAGGAGGGCGAGGCTTGTGCTTGGGAGCAGGGCTGGGAGGGGCTTATGTTTAGAGACAGAGAAGGGCAAGGTTGGTGTTCAGCATGAGAAGGGGGATGAGATTTGAGTGAGGAATTAGTAGTAGGATGAGACTTTTGGGGAAGCCCAGGAGGGTGAGCTGGAGGTGCAGGAGCAGGGCCAGGCTGGGGTGCAGGATCAGAGGGAGGGTGGGGCCAGTATGGAGGAGCAGGAGGAGGAAAAGGCTCAAATACTGGACCCGGAGGAGAGTCCAGGAGAAGAAAAGGGGAGTCAGATGTGGGGAGGGCACTAGGAGGAGGGTGAGTCCAAGATGCAGGATCCGGGGTTTTTGTCTGGTGTGAAGGGACAGAAGGCAAGTAACAATGGTGTGGCCGACTCGGATAGTTGGGCTGGAGTGCAGGGCCTGGAGGAGGGTGAGGCCCGTGTGGAAAGGCAGGATGGTAAGGCTCAAATATAGATCTAACGGGGTCAGGCTGGGGTGGAGGACCAGACAGGTGGGGCCGGGCTACAGGATGAGGAGGGTCAGGCTGGTGGGAAGATTATGAATAAGGGGGAAGATGGCATTGGGAGGCAAGAATTATTTGGGACTTATCTGTCATGTTGTCCGGAGAAGCTCCTAGCAGTCAGAACCAGTGACTGGTAAGGGTCCAGGACTACAGCTGCTTTTACAGGCCAGCCCGTGTCACAGTGTCCCTTATGACATAAACATGCCCACCCACCTGGGCAGTGAATAGCCCCACCCATCAGGGAAATGGTTCCATGGCATAGGTTCAAGAATAATCAAGGCAAATAGGACAGAGAAGAAATGGGTCTATATGATAGTCCTTCTTCTTGGGATAATATGTACTTGGCCTATCAGTAGGCAGAGCGACCAAAGGCCATGGATACCATTAGAATGTTGGCACCTAGAACTGAGGTGTGATGTAGAAATCAGGAGATGTGGGAAGATCCAGTTCCCCAGTTCAGCTAACTCATTTTCTAAAGCCTTTTCACATCACTTATATCTCTGCATGAATATGAGGTAACCAGAGTTGCTATGTCCCTTTCATTAGTGTGGAGGATGGGAGAGGCCAGAGAGGGAATTCTCCTGGGCCGATTGTTGGTGATAAGCAGTAGGATGAGAATTTGGGCCAAAAAAGGGGATGTATAAGAGTGCTCCCAAAATCCAATCCTTATCAGTGCTCCCAAAAATCCAATCCAATCCTTATCTCTTTATCAGAATCAGGAGGACAAGGTTAGAAAATAAGAGAAAGATGGGGATGATGGCAGCATGGGGGAGGTTCTCACATTTTCATCTCACTCAGTGTGGGCAGAATGCAGATTTTAAGGAGTTCAAAAAACGAGGATTCAAAAAACCTGTGGAGGGTGTGGCCAATGGCAAGTCAGGAGCAGATCTTCAGGGGCTGAAGCTGGTTGAGGGTATGGCAACATGAGGTTTTCACACAACTAAGTGTCTACAAAATGTTATCTGGCTGGGATCTGAAAGAGGGATTTGATTGTGTTAGAGATTCCAGGGCTTTATAACCAGGATGAAGTCCACTCAGCCTAGAGCCCATGCTAATTGCTCCCCTAGTTACTCACACCCCTTTACATTCTGTTATAAAAAATTCAATACTCTGCTCATGCTGACCTGGGAGGGCCAGTTTCTGGAACTCACAAGCACAGTTTGTCTGCACAGACTCTAGTGAGTTCTAAGCTCCGTAGTCAGCTCTTCTGAAGAATGATGAATCATACTATGAGAAGATACATACTTGGTGTGATTACAGGGGGGATCACAAAATGACCAAGAGCAGTGGTATGCAGCATGGCCCCTGTGATGCTCCTGACTAGTATCTCACACATTCTGATTCAGAGTGCAACTTAATAAATATAAATTTCATAAGTACAACTTTGGATTATCACAGTTCTTCCCCTCATGTCCACCCTCCCACTCCCAAAACCATCCCACCCCCTACTCCCTCTCCCATCCCATGCTTCATTAAAATTCATTTTTAATTATCTTTATATACAGAAGAAAAACTCTATACTAAGTAAAGATTTCAACAGTTTGCATCCACACAGACAAAGTATAAAGTACTGTTTGAGCACTAGTTTTACCATTAATTTTCATAGTATAACTCATTAAGGACAGAGGTCCTTCATGGGGAGCAAGTGCACAGTGACTCCTGTTGTTCATTTAACAATTAACATTCTTTTGTATGACATCTGTGATCACCAAGGCTTTTGACATGATCTGCCAAGGCTATGGAAGCCTTTTGAGTTCACAATCTCTGTTAGTATTTTGACAGGGCCATAAGCAAAGTGGAAGTTCTCTCCTCCCTTCAGAGAAAAGTACCTCCTTTGACGGCCCCTTCTTTTCCCTGACGTCTCACTCACAGAGATCCTTCAAATAGAACTTATTTTTGCCACAGCATCTTGGCTTTCTGCACCTGAAATGCTCTCACGGGCTTTTTAGTCAAACCAGGAAGTCTTGAGGGATTTTTCTGAGGTTAGAGTGCTACTAAGGTGATTGTCTCTATGAGTCTGCTGTGTGGACTGCTTCCCATGTTGGAACATTTTCTCTTTTTAAATTCTGTATATTATTATTACCAGACACTTGATCATTTTTATATGATCCCTTTAACACTTAATCCTATCTATATGATTAACTTAACACTAAATGGGATGACTTTAACACTTAAGATGGCATTATTACCACCCAGCTTAATGGTTTTTGAGTCCCATGACAAGTTTTTAGCTGTACATAGAAGGGTAATTCTTAAACTGATAATTTTGTATGACCTGCGATTGATGCTATAAATATCCAAATGACCCATGACAAAGAAAGGTTTGCCCACCCCAGGTATTGGGTGATAAAATACAATGTTTAACCCTACAGTCTAAAGATGGAGACAGAATATAAGGTAATAAAGTTAAAAATCATCCAGTCAGATGGTGATAGGTGCTATGGGAAAAAAGACACAGATTTGGATCCTACATCTGGATAAGAGCACCCATTTTCCACAGTGACCATGTATACATGACAAAGGAATACAATGACATCACAATGCTACCTGTGATTGACAGCCTGGCTGCTTTTATTGAAGGTGATTTATGACTCTTGCCCACAAGACAGTCTACATTTCCAAACTTCTCTTTCCTTGGTGCCTGTATTGGGGGGTATGAGTGTGATGAGCTACCATGGAGGAAGAGAGACCCAGGTTGTATCAGTGACCCAGTCTGGCACTGTGGATCCTACACTGGTTCCAGGAGCAGGAATGAGGGAGGGAAGGAACCCAGTGCCCACCCACACAGCACACTGGTGCTGGAGTCTGCGGTGTCTGCAAGAGGCCTGTAGGGTCGGATGCAGGCAGGGAGGGGGACAAAGAAAAGCAAACTACAGTCTGATGATTTGTTCTACTCTGAAGTTGCAGAAATGGCTTCAGATACCCAGTGTAGGTGCCCACAGGTCAGAATAGGACCTTTAAGCCTCTCAGTGTAATGTTAATTTGAAATACTTTAATCAAAAATAAACTACTAACTTAAAAAAGAGAATATTTTGTGAGCATGGTATTTACGTTTTGACAAGAAATTACTCCTAAGACATACACATTTTCTACCACGAGACATGTGGCTATTTTAATTTCTTCATACTTAATTGAATAAGGAGCAGGGGCATTGCAAAAAGAAAAATACAATGTAACTAAAAGTTGTTTAATACATAAACTAACTCCTCTTTCAGTTCCATTTTTCCATGAAGTTTTTGAAGTACCCTTGTATTTCAGAAACAATGGTAAGAAAACTGGGGGAAAGAAAATTTGAAAGAAAATACATTAAGATACTAGAGATAACACTAAGTACAACAGGTCTATCATTGAAAATGTTCAGGGAAGATGTTATAAAATAAACCACAGTGGACATACTAAACAAGTTATGCTCCTCCAATCTGATCAAAGAATCCCGTTGTCTGGCTCTGAGGTTAGGAACCCTGCCATCCTAGACTCTTCTTCAGCCCCAGTGCCATGGGTTCCTCTACCTGAATCTCTGTTCCTCTAAGGGGTCCTCATTGACCAAGAGTCTTTTCAGAGCCCTCTTCATGTCTGTGTTCCTCAGGCTGTAGATGAAGGGGTTCAGCATGGGGGTGACTACGGTGTACATCACAGAGGCTGTGGCAGTGGAAGCTGAGCTGGGGGCTGCACCAGCACTGAGATACACACCTATGCTCGTGCCATAAAATAAGGAGACGACAGAGAGGTGAGAGGCACAGGTGGAAAATGCCTTATGCTTCCCTTGAGCTGATGAGATTGCACGAATAGAAGAAAGAATCTTAGAGTAGGAGTAAAGGATGCCAGCTAGGGGACCCCCACCTAGTAGCACTGCAGTAGAAAATATCAACATGTCATTAGGAAAGGTGTCTGAACAGGCGCTGTGGATCACTTGACTCAGTTCACAGAAAAACTGGGGGATTCCCAGGTGTGTGCAGAAGGACAGCCGCAGCACCAGGAGGCTATGTGACAGGGCATTTAGGGAATTGATGACCCAGGACACCAGGACCAGCTGCACACAGAGCTGGGGGTTCATGATGACCATGTAGTGCAGAGGGTGACAGATGGCCACAAACCTGTCATAAGCCATCACGGCAAGCAGAAGGTCATCCAGCCCTGCAAAGAGTATGAAGAAGAACATCTGGGTGATGCAGCCTGCATAGCTGATGGCTTTACTCTGCTTCTGGATGTTCACCAACATCTTGGGGATGGTGGTGGAGGTGAAGCAGACGTCCATCAAAGACAGGTTGGAGAGGAAGAAGTACATGGGCGTGTGGAGGTGGGGGTCTGAGAGGATGGCCAGGATGATGAGCAGGTTCCCAGCCACAGTGGCCAGGTACATGAAGAGGAAGAGCCCAAAAATGAGGGGCTGCAGTTCTGGGTCCTCTGAGAATCCCAGGAGGAAGAATTCTGAAGGTTGGGTTTCATTTCTTGGTTCCATGAGGTGTCACTACCAATAAAAAGAAAAATAACATGAGGAATAGTCACACAAACAGACATTAGCAGTAGAGTGGGAATCCAAAATCCATGTTTTGCAGTTGAAAATTTAGCACCCATATTTGTGAATGGAATTGTTCCAGTTCGGGCAGCTCCCTGTGCCATCTCTGACCAAGAATTTCTGCCTCACCCTCAATCCTTCCCCAAGACATCAAATATTTGTAAGTTTTGATGAGAAAATTATTAATTCAATTCTTTCCACAGCGATTAACATGCAGGCATTGGGATATCTGGCCCATGGGCTATGTAAGGCCCACTGTCACTGGGTCTGGCTATGCCAAGGCTACTGCAGGTGGGGCTAAAAATCAATTAATCTACTGCAGTGCAATTTTTAAGTTGATAATTTGTATGGCCTGCAAAAGATGTTACAACTATCCAAATGGCTCTGGACAGGAAATAAACCACTGGTTTACAGTGATAAAATACAGAATCCCTACCTTCTGAAAAAGGAGGAAGAATATAAATAAACACAGACAACATCATCTGAGTCAGATATTGAAATATGTGATAGAGAAAGATACTGGTTTGTATCCCTTATGCCAAGGGTTGGGAATGGAAGTGCTTCAGAGTTCAGATATTCATATTACCACCAACAGTGTAATAGGGAACCTTCTCCCCAAATAAAAATGAAAGCAGCCTATGAAAGAGTTATCTGTAGTCCCCTGTTTATTGCAGGTCAATTCCCAATAACTAAGATGTGGAATCAACCCTCATGTCTGTCAACTTATGACTGGATAAAGAAAATATAGTGCATATATACACTATGGAATACTACTCAACTGTAAAAAAAGAATGAGATCCTGTCTTTTGCAACCAAACAGATGCAACTGGGGACCATTATGCTTAGTAAAAAAAACCAGTACCAAAACACAAATATCATATGTTTTCTCTGACATGTGGGAATTAATACAGAATACAAAAAGTACATAGGGATGAAACAGATGTCATGTGATCTGATTGTTGTCATGTGATCTGATTGTTGATTTTAGCCATTATTTATACCGATGTGGAACTGTGATCTTTCAACTTTTTACTTTTTAAATATGTTGAGTGGTGCATTAAGCCTGAGATCATAGAGTGGACTGTAGTTTTTTTTTTTTAGAAAGTTAAAGAACAATTAAAAATGAAGGAAGGAGGGGTGTAGAAGGACGGATGGGAGAGGAAAGTAAACGTGGTATCCAGGGTCCAAAGGCAGCTGATGAGGGGAGGGAGATGAGTAAGAGAGGGCTGATGAGTTGGTGGTCCAGAGGATGCTGTGATCCAGAGGACCCTCACCCTCACCAAGCTCCTCCTGCACTGTGTTTCTTTATAAGCAGGCATCTGCGGATGGCACCAGATCCACTGCCCAGCACCGTGTGTTCATCGAGTGCTGGGTCTGTATTGTTAGAGTCCCCTTGCATCTACTCAATGAGCCTGGGAACCCCAGCTGAGCCTGGCTTCCCACTTCACACAGAACACACAACCACCTGGACGGGCTCACAGAGCTGCCTCCTCTGTTGTGTCAGCTCATGTCCTGCTAACACAGCCATGCCAAGGAGTCACAATAGGGTTAACTTTCCCCCAAATACAAGGGCATATGGAAGTCTGTAGAAAATAGATTTAAAAAATTATTTTAGTATAAAAAGTTGAAAGCATGCATAGACATATATATTGTGGAAACTGTGCCAAACTACTTGTATTTGAAAAACAGTACACACACAAAAGGAAAACAGTACACAAAAATCCAAATCTATAATCCTCTCATATACAAAATAATTCAACTTGACTTTTTTGAGATTTAATTATTTTTATAGCTATTTTGTTTTAACCATTGTTGACAGATCATAATTGATTATGTTTATATGAGGCAGAATTCAGCACCCTAATGGGGAATAATTTATTCTCTATTTAAAGCAACATGGAAGATATGTTTGAGAAAGAAGAGAGAGAGAGAGAGAATATGAAATGGACATGAGGGAAGCCAAGATCTGAGAGCACTAGCTGTTTGCTGAAGGACTGTGAGGTCAAAAGTCCCCCCTGTATCTGGCAGGATCCTAACCATGCCTCTGTCCCTTTGGTATTTTAGAATAAAAAACGGCACAGAGAGCGCAGCCAGGCACACATGTAACCAAAATCGAAACATCATCTACTACTGCCTCTATGGCTTATAGCCCTTGTCTATGTTTCTCTTTTTTGTTTTTTACTGGTTGAACTCTTTATTTGGTGAAGTGTTAAGCCTTCAACTATAATGTCAACTAAAATGTTAGCTCAAAAATTCAAACAGAAAGAAAGGGAAAAGAGATGGAAGCATCTTAATTTTAGAATTGAATCTATGAAAAAATAATAAAATAAAAACTGTATCCATGAATGAAATTTTTGTATTAATAGTACATTAACATGAGACGTTAATGATATGAGAGTAATTATGAGATAGTCTTAGTGATGTACTATTAAAAATGTGGTGGATACTCTCATGTAATTGCTCTGTCCTGGGAATATAATGTATCAATAAACTTCTTAAAACTTTTAAATAGATAAATGAATAAAAGTAGAAAGGGAAAATAAATAAATGAGCACACAAAAGCAAAGACACAGCATTTTAAAAATTAAAATTGAAATGTATAACACTACAATGACATCAGTGCCAGTCACTATCAACTTTTGAAACACTGGGTAATGAATGGAGCTGAACAGAATTTTCTTGAATGAGGGGAAGAAGCAGTACTGTGTGTGTTATAAGAGACAGATGGATCCCAGTTTCCTTAAGAGAGGGAAGGTGATCTATAGACACATGGTGAACAGTGGGACATTCCAGAGGGCAACGGAAGTGATGTGTTCCAGTGACAAAGGCAAAGGATAATAACAAAACATATTGAGTTATCAGAACAATTTGATGTGCAACATGTTGGAAATATATGTACGGATGACTTATTCACACTAAGGTTGCAGAATTACTTTCGAGGTTTAAGACAATAGGATGTGGACCAAGGATGAATTACTAATTTTGACAATAGAAAATTGCAAGCTTTCACATGTCGCCCTACATACATCAAAGACAGTCCTTACAAACATCTTGGAAAGTAAAGGTAAAACATATGCTTTATTTGGGTGCATAAATGTTGCAAAATAAGGATTTCCCCAAATTTGAACGACCTATCAGAAGCATGGATTAAGACCTTTTCTTGCACTGAATATTTTGGGCCATAAAAAACTTACCATTCAAATACATTTTTCTATGACTTTGACGTACTCTCCCACTACACATAAAAGAATTTCAGGGCAGAAAAAGGTGGTGAACATGGCCAGTTCACTGTAGAAAAGGTGACAGTGGCAGACAGGAATAAAGCAATCTCACCTGAATGCACACAACAAAAGGTCCGGGATGAAGCAGGAGAGAGGGCAAAGGGTTGAGAAACCACTGAGTGCACTCAAACTCACAGGCAGTGAGCTCCCTGCCGAGCAGGTGTCTTGATGGACCCGTTCTTACTGCATCTCTGATAGGACATTTTGTCATGTGAGCACCAAGTGTGGAAGACACTGGGACGTGCGTTTCTCTGCAGCTGCTACTGTAATGATACACATGCAAGCATTTATCCCCATCTGGGCCTTTCTTTCTCACAGAGAGGAAGTCAGCTACGTCCTGCCTTAAAAACCAGAATAGGGGCCAGCGCCGCGGCTCACTAGGCTAATCCTCTGCCTTGCAGCACCGGCACACCGGGTTCTAGTCCCGGTCGGGGCGCCGGATTCTGTCCCGGTTACCCCTCTTCCAGGCCAGCTCTCTGCTATGGCCTGGGAGTGCAGTGGAGGATGGCTCAAGTCCTTGGGCCCTGCACCCGCATGGGCGACCAGGAGAAGCACCTGGCTCCTGGTTTCGGATCAGCGCGGTGCGCCGGCCGCAGCGCGCCAGCTGCGGCGGCCATTGGAGGGTGAACCAACGGCAAAGGAAGACCTTTCTCTCTGTCTCTCTCTGTCCACTCTACCTGTCAAAAAAAAAAAAAAAAAAAAAAAAAAAAAAAAAACAACCAGAATACGAAGGGTGGTGACCAGGTCTCCAGCGTCAGGAGCCATTTTATCCCCTGCATGAATCAGTTTTGAGTTGTCAACAATAAAGGCACTCACATGGAGAAAATGAAACTCCTCTACTGCCCCATATTTCAGAATGCTATGAATTTGGCTCCATGTCTGTTAGGCACTAATGCCTCTCATTGCCTGTAGAAATTGGCCTTCCCTCACCTGCATTTCTTCTTTAGCCAATGGCCAATGCCCCTTTATCATCACAAATGCACCTGTTAGTCAAGTAAACAAGCGATCCCAGTCCTCTCTTAGGTGTGAGCTAAGTTGGTGCAACACTTAGTGGATCCCAGGAAAAACCCTCTGTGTCCACTGCCTGGGACTCTCCTCCCACAGTGTCAGCCAGACTCACCTACATGGGGTTTCTGGGAGGAAGGTCTCCAGGTGGAAGCTCAAATTCCACCCTGGATGGTGGATGATGGAGACTGAAGCTCTGTCCCAGACAAGGCAGCAGGAAGGAGGGAGACATCAGTCCCTGAGCCAGACTAAGGCATCCAAATGCAACCAGGTTCCTTCTCACCCAAGGTTTCAGAATCCGAGGGATGGCAGCAGAGGGGGTATTTACCACACCCTGCACCTGCTCATTAGGCACCTCCCTGCCTGTGACTCTGATCTCTAAGCTCCTGATTCCCCTGAGAGATATTTCCCTGGACAGAACACAGTTTTGTTGGTGGCTCCCGAGAGACCAGGAAGAATTAGGTGAATCCTCATTCTGTTTCTCCTGCTCTGTATCAAATGTTAAGAGCTGCCGTTCAGTTCCTCATTGTAACTGCTTGATAATTAGAATAATCACAGGGAGATATTAGAACATGGGCTCAGAGTAGCACGTTCTAGCAGTTGTCTGATTTAATACATGCCGAAGTCTGTTATGTGAGGGCTCAGTGTTAGAATCTT